TGGCAGCTACCACAGTGACACTATATTCACTGGGGACTGGGAGGAGAACCCACTGCTCACTTCATGGCCCTCGTTCCTTAGATCCAGCCCTTGGAGCCAAACTGAGGGGGAAGCAGAGTTTTTTGTAGTTTGTGTGCCCATCTCCTTCCTTTTCATCTGTTCTCCCCACTCGCCCACCCCTGAGTGGGAACAGAGCTGTGTGAGCAAGTTGGAGTTGCTCACTGCCTGAGAATTGCATCAGCCTCGCCTGGCAGGCTGGAGCAGGAGCCTGTTGCTATGGTGACCACCAGGCTTCGAACCAGTGAGAAGGATGAGGTAGTTACAGGGTGTGGTTTTCTCACCTTGTGATACTGTCGTGTGATAGGCATCAGGTCTGGTAAGTCTGTATTCCCAGCCCTTCCAGGATGTGCCAGCTGCTTCAGTAGGCATAATGGGGCTGTTCCAAAAGCCATATGGACATTGTCCAGGTTGGGTGTGTGTGACCGAGGACATAGGTCGCTGCACCAGGCCCACTTGGTACCAGGCAGTGCTTCCCAGCCTAGTTCTGAGAACATGGGTAAGGTAGGGATTTGACCATGTAAGCCAGAGTCTGGGAAAAGAGAAGGGGTCTGGAAGGGGGACCATTTCCCAGAACAGAAGGCTGCTCTGAATCCCAGCCAATAAAACCTGCCCAGCTGGTGTTGAGAATTTATTCTTAACCACCTGACAGCACAGCATCTTGCTAAAGATAACAGAGAGCTTGGCCAAGCCGCACAATTCTTTGATTCAGATCTTTTCTCTCTTCTTTTGTCTTCAGGGGAAAGGATGTAAAAGTTAGTGTTCTGGGTGCATTGGGCACCTGCTATGGGCCAGGGCTTACAGTAGACTCTGTCCCATCTTCTTGCTGTATTCTTTCCTCCACCCTGGGAGTAGGTGATGCTGTCCTTGTTTTGTAGGAAAGCAAGCTCAGGGACCCAGAAAATTAAAGTGACTTGCTTCCTCAAAGAGTTAAATCTCAATTATTGGGCTCTGTATCCTCTGCTCTCTTGGATTCTAGATACCCCACAAATCAGAAATTCTTAGGAGTCCAGTAAAGAACGCTCACCTATCCTCTGGTGGAAAAGCCACTGCAGTCTCTTCCCCAGGGAAAAACTCAGGGTCTGTGCAGGGACTGAGGCTGTTTCTGATTGCTGAACGGGAAGTGTGAGCAGTATGGGGCAGGTGTGTGGGCAGAGCAGACCCAGAAAGTGCTTGGGAAGATCGGGGAGGACAGTGACAAAGCCCAGACCTAGAACATACGCTGACCTTGTGATTTTTGCTTGGGACCCTCTAGGGATTAGAACTAATTGTCAGATGAGTTCTCAGCAAAGATGGGTTCTGCACAGTGGCTCAGGGCAAGTAAAGTGTATAGAACCAGGGGAGATTCAAGCCTCTTCTATGGCTCAGAAGTCAGAAGATCTGACTTTATGAGCGCACCAGGCGTGGTAATAGTAACTAATACTCTTCTAAGTGTGCTTGGGATGTATTTGCTCATTCCTTCCTCAGAAATTCTGTGAGTTTGTATGCTGATATTTTTCAATTTTGAAGATAAAAGAGAGGCACAGAGAGGTTACATGACTTGTTCAAGGTCACATAGCTCGAAAGAGTTGGAGCCTGGGTTTGAAGCCAGGGAGGCTGCCTTCAGAACATGAGCTCTTAACCACAATGTTCTGTTGCTTGTACTCTTTATCTTCTGAGGAAATGATAGTGAGTCAGCTTGCATGACACCATCCCTTGAGGAGAGTGTGTGTGTGTGTGCGCGCACGCACGCGCACGCATGCATGCATGCATGCACTGTTATATCAGTAGTGGAGGGAGGACTCAGGACTGAGCTTCTGAGTATTGATGACTGCACCCTGTGTGTCTGCAGTAGTCTGCCTGCCTCTCCCTTCTTGCTTCCCTCTCTGTGTGGTTCCCAGGAAGTGGGGTGATCTGCTGCCTTTGCTTTAGGGAATTGGGGTTATTACTGCAGACTATGTATGTGAGTTGCTTGCCCAACCCTGCCAAAGGACCCAGGGCTCCCAGGGAGAGCTCAGATCCAGGTCTGAGAGTGGATGGCAGCCCTAGGAGAGCAGACAGTGCGAAGGGCAGCTGCCACTTGTGGGACAGGTGCTTCTTGTGGTGCTGGACAACCTGTGTGCTGCTCACCCAGTATGCAGCTCTTCCAGCCCCTTCTGCTGGCCAGCTCTTCCAGCTGGCCTTCTGCTTGGTGTCTTGCCCAGGACTGGGACTGTGATGAGAAATAACAACAACAGTAAAGTCAGTGACAGCAATAACAGCCATTAACTACTTATTACATGCCAGGCACTGTTCTTCGAGCTTTACTTGAACTTTTCCTGAGATTTTGAGTGCTAGTATTATCTTCATTTTCTAAATGAGGACACTAAGGCATAGAGAGACTAAGCAAGTTGCCCAAGGTCATCCGCCCAGCCTGGCTCCTGAGTCAGTGCAATGTAACCACATACAGTACTATCTCCTCCTAGAGGAAGCATCTTGGCCCTAGCAACCCTTTTCCTACCCTTAATTTAGAATCTTGCACTCATTTTCCCTGTGCATAGGTCCTGCCTATGAGATATGGCTTCTGATATCAACCAGACCCTGGTTTTTGCAGGAGCTGTGCCCCTTCTCAGCCCTCATGTCACATGTCTGGGAATGCAAAGGATGTTTCCCGAAGCTCTCCTAGGAGCAGAGAGCCTGGCCCATTGCTGCCCCATTGGCACCTGGTGCCTGTCTTCTCTAGTCTGTGGTCTGCAGTTACCCTTCAGTTGAAGGCCCATGACTGACCCTGAGCTGCCTTCCTATAGGAGGTCAGGCTGGCATTCCTTATTGACGGTTGAGAAGATGGAACTCTACAGATCTGAGTAGGGGACTTGGGAGGTGGCAAAAGTTGGGTAGATGCAGAGAAAGTGGTGGCATTGGGGAAGTTTCCTTTGGGCCTTTCTGCATGGTCTCTGAGACATTGCCCACTGGCATCAGTTGGATGTGAAATAGGTTGAACTCTGGAGTGGGTGCCCAGGTCGTGCCTGATGGCAGGAGTATTGGAGCCAACAAAAGCCTGGCTGCCCCTACCTAGGGCTGATCCAGGCTTTTCTTGCACTGGGATGTTGGCAGCAAAGCAGGAATGAGCTCTTTAGGTGGAACCTGCCTTTGTAACTCAGAAATTGACTCCAAAACCCTCTTTGGAAGCTGTGGACTATGGGCTTGGTTCAGCCCTCTTGCCTCCTGCTAATCCCCATGTAAGGGTTCCTATCTCTGGTGTTGCTCTCTCCTTCCCTGTCTACTTTTTTAAAAAGGTATTTTATTCTATTTTAAAAAATTGAGATAAAAATACATGTCTGACATTTCCTGTCATCATCATTTTTAAGTGCACAATTCTGTGCCCTTAAGTATATTCATACAGTTGCAAAACCATCACCACCCATCTCTAGAACTCCTCTCATCTTGTAAAAGTGAAACTCTGCACCCATTAAACAGTGCCCCATTTTCCCTTACCCCCAGTCTCTGACAATCACCATTTTACTTTCTTTCTCAATGAATTTGGTTACAATGGAATCACATAGTACTTATCTTTTTGTGTGTGTGACTGGCTTATTTCACTTAGTGTGACGTTCTCAGGGTTCATTCGTGTTGTAGCATGTGACAGGATTGGCTTCCTTTTGGGGGGTTAGGAAGAATTACTGGGGACTGAACCCAAGGCCTTCACACTGAGCCACATCCCAAGTCCTTTTTCTATTTAAAAAAATTTGAGACAAGGTCTTGCTAAATCACTAAATTGCCCAAGCTGGCCTGCAAATTGTGATCCTCCTGGCTTAGCCTCTTGAGGGCTGGGATGACAGGCATGCGCCACCATGCCCAGAGAATTTCCTTCCATTTTGAGGATGAAAAAAGTACCACTGTATATATCCTCACACTGCTGGGCTATTATGAGTACTGTTGCTATGAACATAGGTATTTCCCTGTCTACTTTTGGGCTTGCTGCTCATGTCCATGGTAGGACCATCCATGGAGCTTTTTCTTTTTAAAAAAAATTTTTTTCTTTTTTTTTTTGAGACAAGGTCTCATTCTATACTTCAGGCTGGTCTTGAACTCACCATGTAACCCATGCTAGCCTCAATTCACGGTGATCCTCCTGCCTCAGCCTCCTGAGTGCTGGGATTACAGGCATGTGCCACCACACCCAGGTCCATGGAGCTTATTCTCAGATGGACCGATTGACTTGTCCTGGGAAGAGTGGGTGGGTCACCCTGTTGGCAGGAAGGGCTTGACTCTTTTCTCTCTCTCTCTTTTTTTTTTTTTTTTCATTTTAAACAAGAAGTTTATTTAAACAAACACAACACTTAAAGGGAAAACTACCTAGGATTCTTTTTTTTTTTTTTTAAAGAGTGATTTACTCCTACTTAAAAACAGATTGCCCAGGGGCTGGGGATTTAGCCCAGTGGCACAGTGCCTGCCTAGCAGGCACAGGTCGTGAGTTCGATTCCCAGTACCGGAAAAAAACAAAAAACAAACAAACAAAAAAAGACAGATTGCTCTACATGTAACAGCTACATACAAAAGAGTTATAAAATTGTCCTTGGTTTTACAATGATGAATGAAAAGCACTAAAATTCTCTCATCAAACAAGGTATGCAAGGATTTTTATGTTGTTGTCTTTTCTGTTAAAACAGTGAGAGCAAAAGAACTTACTGGAATATAAATGTAAGAGCTGATGAGCATGCCACTAATGGAGAAAGGCCATTATTTTCACAGAACCAGTAATTCCCCGTCCCATCTCCATTTGATGTCAATCAAAACATATTGTTGGCCATTCAGTTAAAAAAAAAAAAAAGCAATATGCTTGTGCATATACACCAGATACTTTATGTACAATAAAGGAATGGGGAAGAGGTAAGTGAAAGAACAGAGAAAACTATACTGTAGTAGTTGGGATGTGGTGGAACCAAGCTGCAGTTTTCTAATTAAGAATGCATTCTTGGTCTTAAGATCAGAGTTCTGGAGTAGGGTTGTTGCAGGTTCCCTTTTTAGTAGACACCTCCTGTCTGCTGCTGGAACACATCAATTGCATCTTCATCCTCCATTTCCAACTGTGCAGGTGTGTCTGTTTCATTGATTGGCTGTCCATCAAATTGGAATCTGATCTGCCTCACTGAGAAACCCTGTCGTTCACAATAGGCTTTCATTAGTTTACTAAGTGCCGTATGCCTCTTAATCTTAAACTGCACCACAGAACCATCCTGCCCTGCCACCTTCAAATTAATAGGATCGTTGTTCTCAGTCTTGACTCCTTCCTTGGGCTTTCGTCAGCCATAACGAGCGCCCAAGTCTTCTTAGCTGCCGCTTCACGAAAGAGGTACCAGGTCCACACGAATGAGCACACAAACAGCACCAGGAGCTGCAGAAGGAGGCAGCAGCAGTGGCCAAGGGACGGGCTTGGCTCTCTGATGCCAGCTTCTATCAAACACTAAGCTTTTTGGGCTCTTGGTATAAAACTGCTTGCTAGAGAAAATTCTAGATTTCCTTTCCCTCTGTCCCCAGAAGAGGGTGCTGAGTTGCTGGCTCTTCCTCAAACAGAAAGGTGGCTGCGGCTTACTATGGGGCTGGCATGGGCAGTGTTAGGAGAAAGGAACTTGCAGGAGCTGGTGGGACGCAGGCCAGTTATGCTGTGGGACCAAATGAATCCTGACATCCCCAGGGCTTAACACAAGGAGGCTGTTTCTGCTCACTGACTCACTGCAGGAAAGCAGGGCCTCTGTCCTGCATGGTCACTCAGGAATCCAGGCTAATAGAGATCACATCTTCTGGAACCTGTGGCCTCTAAGGTCACTGCAGCAAGAGGAGAGAAAACAAATTGTGCATGGTTTTTCTCTGCCGCAGTCAGGAAATGACACGTGTCATGTTCACTTACACTTTTGTTGGCCAGAACTGATCAAATGGCTGTGCCCAGCTGCACAGTGACTAGAAAGCATAGTCCCTGATGCATCTGTAAGGAGAAGAGGATGAGGTAGAACTGAGCACTGGTCATGTTCATCGAACAGAGGGAAATTCTTTGTGTGAAGGAAGAAGGCCCTTGAGAAGCTTACTCTGGCCTAGAAGATGGTGGCAGGTGGATTTGTGTGTCACTGACTTGTAGGAGGGGCAGAATCATTGTCATCTTCATCATGTGCCAGGACTGGGCTGAGCTATTTATGGGCATTGTCTCATGGAATCCTCACAAACTCAAGGCCACACTCTTTCCCTAGGACCACATCCCTGTAAGTGGTGGTTGAGCTTGATGTTGGGCGGTGGACCTATGGAAATGCCAAGGGCTGGTCAAAGCAGAGGGCACCAAAGATAACAGGGCCATAGCAGGTGAGTGTGCCTGGGTACAGTGTGTGTCCACACAAGCACATGAGGATATGGGCAAAGAGCAGACCCAAGCTGGCTGGGCTTTTTCTTTCCCCAGCTTAGCCCTTACCTGGCTTTGCACTATCCTGGAGGAAAGGTGATGCTGGTGTCCAAGGAGCCAGGTGATTAACCTGGATAAGTCCTCTCATCTTGGAACAGGCAAAATCACTGGCACTCTGGAGCTGAGAGAGAGGAGATGGTGAATTTATTTATTTTTCCAGTAATGGAGTTTGAACCCAGGGACACTGTGCCACTGAGGTGCATCCCCAGACCTTGTGTTTATTTTGAGGTAGGGTCTTGTTGCCCAAGCTGGCCTCAAATTTGCAGTCCTCCTGCCTTGGCCTCCCAAGTAGCTAGGATTATAGATGTGGCCTACTGAGCTTAGCCAGCTGAAGGAGGTGAATGTTGAGGGATTCCTTCATCGCCTGTTCAATAGTAGAATTTTTCCCCCCAGTGTTGGGCAATTGAACCCAGTGTCTCCTCATGGTAGACAAGCCTTTTACCACTGAGCCATATTCCCAGCCCTAATAGAACTCTTTGTAAGGTCTTGGGTGGGTGGGGGTATGGGTAGAGAGCCAGCAGTTTGAGCTGAATGCCACAGAGAGTGGCCTCCTGGCATCAGTAGGTCAGGGCTTTTCTGTGGATGCAGGTATGAGAGCATGTGAGAGGATGCAGGATAGAAAGGCCCTGGCCCACTTTTGCAGAGAGGCGGGGGCCTGGAGCACTTGGCTGTGGGGTTGAAGGGAGTCTGGGTAGATGGCAGGGTACATGTGAGTTCTGGTCCTGGCTGCTGCCAACCTGCAGAGTCACTTTGAGAACCTTACTGACCCCACTGAACCTTATTAACTGTTTTCTGAACTGTCCCTTCCTGCTCCTCAGTGCTAGATTGAGAGTCATTTAATTTTTCATGAATATCCTAAGGAGTCTTGAAACCATAGATGGGAGAGGGGCTCTGAGGAGGCCTCCTTAGGCAGGTGATAAGTGTGGTTGCTTTTGAAGGTCGTGACCATAATGGTCCCTTGATTCTTCCAGGTCATCATCTCTTGGCTGCTCCCCCTTCCGCAGCTCTGGGGCTGAGCGGCATTTCCCACAGGGGGAAAGGGAAAGAAAAGCAGAGCCTTAAATCAAATCAGTCCAGGATCATCACTTGCTATCAGTTCTTGAGAGGGTTCAGAGGGGAGGCAGGAAAGCAGGTTAAAACTGTTGAACTTCAACAGAGGTTAGAACTCCTGTAGGATTTGTCAAAGTGACCTGGCACTCAGGCCCTAAATAACTGAATTGGCTGTTACCGGAAGAGATTAGGGGGACTTTTAGGGGATCTTGTCAGGCAGCCAGCAGTTAGTTACCAAGCTTGTGCTTGGGAGCTGCCACAGCTGTTCTTGCCCTCCAGACGCTTGCCACCTAGTGGGGAAACCAGTGTTTCTGTCCATCTCTCAGAACTGGTAAAGCCTCTCCTTTCTCCAGCCAGAGCCCTGTGGCACACCCCATCCTCTTTCCTTCTGCTTCTGTCTCTTTTATCCATGTCCAAGACCGGAGATTCCTTTATTTCAGGCCTTGGAGTGCTGGGCTTCTCTAGGTGACCACAGTCTGTGCCTCTCTTCTCTCCCCAAGGGATCCTGGAGGTGGATGATGGGATCACATCTCCATGACAACCAGAGAGGCCTTGCTACACCCCTGTAGGGGGTAATGGGAGTGTGGTGTGACTGTTCCCAGCAGAGGGGGTGGAGCCAGAACTGAGAACTGGTGACTTTTGCTGTCTTCCAGGAATGAACGATCCCATTGGCGGGTATCCAGCTAGCCCTGGGCTTTGGTTACTGCCAGATTCCAAACATAGCTGGAGACCTCAGGATAAAGGTAGGGGCCACCCTATAGGTCTAAGCAGCTGCTATAGGTTGAACTCAAGGGACCTGAGTGAATGAGCCACAGGCTGCCCTGCCTGACTTCTCATGTTGTGTGATCAGAGCAAAACCCTTTTTGTTTGCCTTTTTCTCCTCTCTTCCTAGGCAAACCCCACAGTCCCTCAAGAGTTTGTTCAAGCCCCACATATTACAAGTGGCCTTCCCTGTAGTTAGTGAATTGATTGCATGCTGTCTGACAGCTTCATAAGACTGTTTGAAAGTCTTAGTTCCACTGGGCTTTCAAGACCATAACCTCCAGGTTCTTGTCTAAAACTCTTAGATCTCAGCCTTCCTATACAGTAGAACTGCTGGAGGAGCTTTTCCAGCCCTGATGCTCAGGCCATTTCATGCTAATCCAGTCTCAGGGAGCCACACATCAGGATCTCCACCCCAGTGCGCTGTGAAGGTATCTTAAAACTCAAGACATAAACTCTGATGGCCGTTGGTGCCTTATTCTACTCTGAGCCAACTTAAAGGAGGCTGACCAGTTAACAACTGGGTCTGCTGATGGAAGGTTTTCTGGAGCCTTAGCTATAAATTGCCAAAGCCCTGCTTTTGTTTTCTAAGGACAAGAAGATCCTTGAGGGTACTTAGTACTCAGGAACGAGACCAGGGTTGTAGTGATAATAGCTACTGTTGATTGCTTGCTCCGGGCTCAGTGCCTTACGTTACATATATTTTTTCATTCACTCCATAAAAACCTTGTGAGTTCATAGGCATTGTTTGCTATCCTCATTTTACAGATGAGAAAACTGAGGCTCAGAATGGCTAAGCAGCTTGTCTAGAGGCTTTCACATGGGAAAATTGATAGGGCCTGAGTCTGACTCCAAAGCCTCTGCCCTTGACCACTGCACTGCTGTGGTCCCCTCAGCTCTCTTTCATCAGTCATAGGGCAGAGGGTGTTAGGAATTAGGTGGCTTCTCTCTCAAGAAAGGTCCTGGTCCCCGTGACACCTCCCTTTGATGGTGGGCCATAGCTGAGGGCTCCCAGAGGTATCATCCGGGTCAGCTGGGGTCATCTGCTCCCTGAAGGTGCCAGCCCCATTCTTTTCTGTGCCTTTGTGGCTCCAACTCAGCTTCCTTACTTTTACAAATACGATTGTGCCCCAGGCACTGTGCCAAATTCTTTAACCTACTTTATGTTATTTAATGTCATTCTCACCAGCACCCTGTGACATGGTATTGTTATCCTCATCTCACAGATGAAAAACTGAAGCTCAGAGAGGCAGTGACTCACAGAGGCCCGAAACCAACCAGTTGAGAATCCAGAGCTGGCATCCAACCCAGATCTCTTGGCTGCGGGGCAGCTCAGCTCTGGTGCTGGTGAGAGACTTGGAACTCTGAGTCCCTTGGGGGCTTGGTTTGCATTAGGCTAGGGGGAAGCCAAGGATGAGCAAACAGCTGAGGGTGCAGGAGACTGTGAAAATGGGTTTGGATGTGAAGGACCTGAGAGTCACTGCAGAAGTTGTCAGCCTCAGAATAGATAACAGGAATGGAGCCGAAGTCCGGATACCCAGGAGGCAGTGCTCGTGGAGGCTGCAGGAGTCCGGGTCTCGCTCAGACTCAGAGTGATCCCTGTATTTGTAGGAAGGGGGGGCAGTGACAAGACACTGAAAGGCCCATTTAGAGCAGCACCATGTGGGGAGGGCGGGCAGGGCAGCGTCCGTCCGTATGTCTCCCCTTCCGTCAGTGACTGTGGACTGTGTTGCAGCTTCCTTGCAACAGTCACCAGCTGCCCTGCCCTGCTCAGAATCATGGAGACTTGGCCTGGGCTTAGCCCTGGGTGTGTGACTTGATGGATTGCTCTGCCCTGGTATCAGCTTTGTGATTGGGAAATCACTGCATCATTCAGCACGAGGAAGGATCCAAGCATCTCTTTGTTGCAAGCAGGCAGTAGCCCTTGCACAGGGAGGGAGCTGTTCTCTGGTTCTCCCAGGAGAAGCATCCCTAGCTCTGGCTCTGCTCTGGAGTTGCCCTGGCTACCAGCCTTCTCTGGGCCATGCCTAGGAACCCTGGACCTCTAGGAAGAGTAACTCCCCCTCGTCATCTCTTCTCTCATGGGCCATATGTGTAGTCCTCACGACAATGACTTGGCCTTTGGTCGCTCCTAGGATGTGGGAGTGCTGACCCAAAGTCCTCGGTGTCCTCTGAATTCTCAAACCAGTCTGAGGCTTAGGACAGAGATATAAGCTGGAAAAATATGTACCAGAGTTGTGAACATGTAGATGGTAGCCAAGAGACTGTATGAGACACCAATGGGGTGAAAGAAGAGAAGGAAGAGATCCAAGTTCCAAGGGGTGGCCCAAAGAAAAGGGTTGAGGAGACAGGAAGATCAAATGCAAGAGCTGTGATTCAGTGTTGGCTAAGGAAGGAAAATATCAGCAGCATGGTATCCTGGAAGTCAGGCGACCTCAGTGCTTCTGGGAGGAATTGTCCACCATCTTGAAGGCTGCTGGGAGTGAAGTGAGGACTAGGAATCTACCATGCTTTGACCTAAAAGACTCCATAGGGTCTCACCTGCCCTTTAGGTGTTAGGTGGTTGGTGCTTGCCAGTTGCTTCGTTGGGTTCTGACTTTGTCTCTCCCCAGAGAACTGGGTGGGAGATGAAGGCTGATTCTGAGAGATGGTGCATTTTTGTTTTAGCCAGTCTTCCCTATGTGACACCCTGTCCGGGTTAGATAGCTGTTCTTTTCAAGTACAGATTGAGATAATGACCTTATCATTGTAAATTTGATGGCAGCTTTTGTATCTGATAAACTGCTCCTAGCATCCCCCAAAGCATAACCTAACCCAGATGGTACCCCAAGAAGTGGAAGCTGAGTTCTGCCAGTTGGTTCCCTGACCTCAGGGTCACCAGGCCCCAGATCCACAGCTCCAAAGCGGACACCTGTCCTGCTGTAGGTGGGGTTTCCAACAGGCAGGACCTTGCCTCCTCTCCATCCAGACCTGTCTAAACTTGAACGTAAGGCTGTTCACAGTAACCTGGTCATCCTTTCTGTCCACAAGACTCTCACTCATCCGGGCTCGGAAGACCCCATTCCTGTCTGTGTTTTTCATAAACCCTCCCACATCCAGCCTTCCTTTTTATTCCCACTGCTGCTGCCCTTAACAACCTGTATGAGGACTGTTTACTCCACTACAAATTATCTAATGTACCTGGCTTGGCTTCATTTCTCTTTGGACCTGAGCATCCCCTCTGCACCAAAGCCACTTTGTTGTTTCGGCTTTAGTGACCCTCAAGACCTGAGCTTCAACGCTGTCACCAGTGCCCTGAGCAGAGCCAGTGCCGTCCTGCTTGGTTCTGTATACTCAGACCCTCTGGCAAGCAGACCTCTTCTCCTCTATCCCCCTCGACACAGGTTATTTCTTCTGCTCTTGAGTCCCTTGAGGGCAAACTGCCTGTTGTTCTTTCTGTTTACATGGGTTCTACATATGAGAATGGTTAACAGCACAGGGTCTAAGCATCAGACTATCCGTGTTTCATTGGTTTTCAACTTAGCCATTGAATCTTGGGCAAGTAACTTAACTCCCTACACCTTCATTCCCTCAACTGTAAATGAAAATCATAGTGGTACAACTAATTTGGTTCTTAAAAACATTTTTAGGTGAACCTGTCTTAAACATACAGCTAAATGAATATTTTTACGTGTATCTCTTTGTATAGTCAACACCCAGATCAAAACATGGAACGTTCCTGTTACCACCTTCCTCCCCCAAATTCCTTCATGCTCCCTTCCATTAACACACTTTCTCTCCACAGCCCGCTTCCAGCTGTGGACTTCTACCATCCATTTATTTTGCCTGGTGTGTGTGTGGTGGTGGTGGTAGTGGAGGGATCGAACCAAAAGCCTTATGCATCTTAGGAAAGTGCTCTGCCTCTGAGCCACATTCCAGCCCTGGCCTGTTCTTGAATTTCATACAATTAAAATTCAATAATGTGTCCTCTTTTTGCTGGGCTTCTTTTGTTCCACATCATGTTTGTAAGATTCACCTGCCCATTCTTACTGTACAGGTGAAGTGAGGTAATGCAGTCTCGTTCCTGCATAGTCACAAGTGATAGACAGTTCCTGTGTATAGATCATGGGAGATCCGTGAGGGCGTGAACAGCTCTCCAAAGACTTCCAGTGCTGCTTTGGTGGGAATGATGGTCAGGCCTGGGCTTCCCTCGGTGTTTCTCCCCTCCTCTACTTTAGTTCCCACGTGGAAAATAAAGTTCTCCTCTGCAGTCAGCCCCTGTATCATCCCTGCTGGGACGGTAAGAACAACCAACACCTGAAAGCTATCTTCGTTCTGTATCTTGGAGTGCTAAGAAGAGGTGGGAAGGGCCCCCGGGCCTTCCCTCAGCATCTGTTTGGGGGTTGGGAGGTCCCAGCATGTTTTTCTTGTTGTGTCCATTGGTCGTCACAGCCTGACCCCTGCCATTTGGGCGCTGCTCTGCACCGAGCAGAGCTTCCCGTGGTAGAAGTGAGGGCTATCACTTGAGTTTGAACCTACCTCCCACGGACCATTTCTCTGCATTGCCAGAAGAGAACACATTGCAGGTCCCCATCGCAGTTCCTCTTGGCATCTGTCCTGTCACCTCCAGGATAGAGACTCCATTGGGACCTTGGAAGAGGCACCCCTATATTTGTATGGGGTTCCTTGTCTGGGTAACTCCTAGGAGATCTGTAGGTCTCAGGTTCTGCCTATGGAGGACCGTGCATTGAGAATTATCTAGAGTCAGCATTACTTAGCAGTGCTGTGGTTTGCACCAAGGTCATGGGCTAGATGAACAGACTCCTCTGAGTCCTGCCCAGCTCTCAGCCGTGCCCACGAGGGCCTCAGTGAGTTGGTGTGTGCCCACCGCTCAGTGCTGTCACCTCACCCTTGCTCACTCAGTGTTCCAGCCATGCCTGGCTATTTATAGTCCGCTTAAAGAGCCCTGCTGTTTCATACTGTGTGCCATTGCCGAGCCTCCTCCTGTTGCTTAGAACTCTGCTCCCATCTCTCACCCACCTGCCAGGCACCCACACATCTTTTAGGAGTCAATAATAATAATAGCAGCTAAGATTTATTGGGTGCTTACTATGTGCTGAGTGCTTTGCCTGTGTTATCCAACTGGAATCCCAGTGGCCCTGTGGACTCCTTACCTTTGTCTTCCACCTGTTCATCTTCATTTGTTTTGCTATTATCTATTGATAAGTGGCTACCTTGTGCCAGGAACTCTTCTGGAGCCACAGAGAGGTGGAGAAGTTGGTAGAATGTAAACCGGAACTTATGCCATCTGGCCTCAGGGTCCTTGCTCTTAGCTGCAGTGGTCAGCTATCTCCAGCACTGTTGCTGGAGCCCCTCTGGCCGTCTCCCTACCCTGCTGTCCCCTCCCCCCGTTCTCTGCCTCACTGTGCCTCTGAGGTGATATTGCTGATGAGACTGTCTTCCTGGGCTGCAAAGATACCACTTAGAAATGTGTTCATTTTAAGTAGCAAAAAATCCAGTATATAGGGTCTTATCTTTCCTGCTTAGCAAGAAATGAGGTGAGCTCTTTCTAATGCAGCTCAGCAGCTCAGCAGCATCAGGGAAATATGAGTGTTTTCTCTTGACCTTTTCCTCATGGCATCTGTAGCTCCGGTCATCATATTTGAGTTCAAAGCAAGAAATCCCCTTTTAATCATCAAGGTAAAATGCCTTGCCAGAGCTGTTGGCATACTTTACTTGGCTCTCATTGGCCAGAATGATGCCAAATGACCATTCCTAGAGAAGCAGAAAACCTGGGTATCTTGTGTGTGACAGGGTCCATTGCCCTCATTTAAAACCAAGGTAATATAAGTAGAGAAGAAAGGGATGTGGATATTGGGCAGAAGACAAGCAGCATCTGCTAGTGTCCTAGAGGGTACAGTCTGTATTGATTTCTTCCAAACTCTCAGAATCTGAGTGCTCTTACGTTGTTTGGTGTTAGAGCCATCAAGCTTTCTTCTGTCTACATACAGACTTTTTTCTTTTTTTAAACATAATACTATACATTACTGTTATGAATCTTCGTCATTTAACAAGATGATAGACATCATTCATATAATTTTAAACAGCTGTATGATAGTCCATCTTGTAGATATACCATAATTTATTCAACCTATCCCCTTCTATTAATTATTCAAGTTAAGCAGCCTGAATAATTAATAATAGGGGATAGGTTGAATCATATGTGATTAATAACCTTGTAATTTTATGTACATTTATAATTAATATCTTTGGACATTGGGTTACATTAAGCTGTACCAACTAAAGCTTTGATACCAGTTAACAAATTTACTCTAGGGAAGCTCTGTTGATTTTATGTACCCTATAAGAGCTTCTGAGAGAACTTGCCCCATGGCGGCTCTGGATATTATTATTTTTGAATTTAACTTAATTTTGTTTGTAATACTGGAGATGGAACCCAGGGCCTGACACATGCGAGGCAAGCACCCTACCATTGATCCTGGGTACATAATATTATTTTCAGATCCTTGCTGATTTGATAGGAAAATCACAACAAAGAAGAAGTATTTTTCACTTTCTTCAATTACAAGTGAGATTAACATTTTGAAAACTATGTGTGTCCTGTGGGCATTTTTAGCTCTCTTTTAAGTTTTCTGTTCATGCCCTTTGCTCCTTTAGAAGGTTGAGGTGTGCAGTTCTTTCTCATTGTTTTGTAAAAGCGCTTAGTCTAGTTACTGTCATGTGAGGCACACAGGGAAGTTCACGGGAGAGTCTGCCTCTGAGCGAGATCTGAAGGCTAAGGGCGTGCCACAGCAGCAAGTGCAGGGTTCAGTGGACAACACTGTGTGTCAGGGGGTTCATTTTCCAGGGCTGCCATCAAGACTACCACAGAATGGTAGTTTAACCAACTGAAATTTGTCTTCTCACATTTTGCAGGCTAGAAGTTCCAATGAAAGCAGGTGGCGCCCTTTTCCCCAAGCTGGTGGGAGAAAAATCTTGCTGCTTTTAGCATCTGGTGGCTGCAGGTGTGCGTGGTCTGTGGCTGCATCACTCCAGGCTCTGCCTCTGTCTCCCTGTCTGTGTCTCTTCCCCTTATTTCTCATAAGACACATTATGGAATTTAGGATCCACATGGTTAGTCTAGGATGATCTCACCTGCAGATCCTTAACTTGATTACATTTATCTGCAATGACCTTTTTTTTTTTTTTTTTTTTTTTTTTCAAATACGGTCACATTCATAGGTACCAGGAATTAGGTGTTGGATACATATTTCATCATACCACAGGAACCTAGAAGTCTGGTATTACAGGGAAGGAGGACATGACCCTGTAAAGTCGAGGCAGATGGCAACCACAAAGGGCCTTGAGCTGAGGAGTTTGGGTTTTACCACTGAAGTGAATGGGGACCAGGGGAGAGACCTGATCAGGTTTGCACTCTGGCTACTGCGAGGAGAGTGTTTGAACTGAAGAGTTGGTTAGGGAAGGAAGGAAGGAGGGGAATAGGGATATTTCAGGGTGTATGAGATGAGAGGCAGGAAGAAGGAGAATTCTTGAAAGACTTATAGGTTTCGTATTTGAGTGATCCGGTGTATTAACTTCAGGAAAAGATTGAGTTTGAGGTTCATTACTATGGAGAAGTCCAGGAAACAATCAGAGGTGGATCTGTAGGTCAGACTTCTCCCTGGAGTATAAATACAATTTGTGAGAGGAAGTGAAGGAAGACAAAGTATAATACTTCTCCCCCATCATGGAAAATATTGAACATGGGAGAAATGGAAAGAATTCTATAGTGAACTTCCACTTACCTGCTACCAAGAGTCTGTAATTACCATTTTTCCACACTTGCTTCATCTCACATCTATCCATCTGCCCATCTCTTTTCCATCTTATTTTTAAGATTTATATTTATTTATGCACTTATATTTATGCACTTTATTTATGCACTTACATTTATTAGTGCATAATATGGAGAAAGGCACTAATATACATATTAGTGCATAATATGGGGAAATCCCCCTGATATGCATTATAGTGTGCATATTACTAACTAGAGTCCAATATTTAGTCAACCCCATAAATCCCAAGGGTACCACTTGATAAATCGTGCTGAATGCATCCACCTGTGTTCTCCAAATCACTGTCAAGATGGAGAACAGTTCTGTAGGTTCCAGAAGTTCCCCTGTGCCCACTAAGGTTAGTTCCTGTCCCCACCCCACCCTAGAAGCAGCCGCTGTTTGGAGTCCCCCCTGCCCCAACCATAGATTAGCTTTGTCTGCTCTAGATCTTCGTATAAGTAGAAGCAAACAGGATTTGCTTCTCTATGTCTGGCTTGTTTCACTTAATATAATGTCTGTAAGAGTCATTTATCTTCTTGCTCCTTATTGTTGTGGAGTGGTTGTCTATTTTATGGCTCAGAGACCATGCCATACGTCCATGAGGAACACCAATTTTTAAATTTCTAATTAACTGATTAATTTATTTATTTAGCAATCAATGGTTGAACCCAGGGCCACTGCACTGAGCTACATCCCCAAGCCCCCTCCCCTTTTAAAAATTTTTTGAGACAATCTCACTAAGTTGCCTGCTCTGGGCACAAACTTGTGATCCTCCTGCCTCAGCCTCCCTAGTAGTTGAGATTACAGGTGTGTGCCACCTTGCCACTGTGCCTTGTAGGAAAACCAATTTTTAAGGGGTGGTCAGAGAAAGATTTCACCAAGTAGGTTGAGAAAAACAGTAAGGATAGTAGTGGTAACTGGCAGAAGTAAGTAACAATGGTTTTAATAGCAACAGCATTGTTTTTTCATTCTCATGTAATAGAAGTTCAGAGGAAGACCATCCTGGGTTGGTATGGAGGCTCCATTGTACCGTCAGTGACTCAGATTTATAACCTTTTACTCAGCTACCTTCAGTGCTGTCTTCTATTCTCAGAGTCATTTTATGGTTCAGCATAGCTACTTGAGCTCCAGCCATCCAGCCAGCTATCCAACCTGGCAACAGGAGGAACAATGAGGACAGAGGGGAGTGTGTCTCTTTTAGCAGCCTTCCTCATAGCCCTACACATACTCACTTAACACCTCATAGATGAAAATTTAATCACATGATGCACGCCACTAGGATAAGTAGCCTTTTGACTAGCCATTGGGCACACAGACACTCCAAATAAAATGGGGTTTCTGCTACAAGGGAAAGTGGAGTTAGCTGCCAGCAGCTTCATCTGCCTTCTTTCTTTTAAGACCTGGTGGCCAAGCTCCAGTGAGCTCCATTGAGCATTCCTACCTGTGGCTTTCCTAGATGAAAGCTGCTGCTTGGCAGATTTCCCTCTCCAGGGCTCTTGCCTTCTTGGATGATTGCCTTCTCTACCTTCTCTGCATCCCTTTTCCTGGTGGGAGCTTCCTGGGCCCTTGGGATCTTGTGGAGGGTGGGGATGAAAGAGGAACGATCTAGGAGCACTTGCAGAAAGCTTTATGGACAGGTTGCCTGCCCGCACCCCCGCCCCCGCCCCCGCCCCTACCCCTACCCCCTTACCCTGGGGCCCCTACCTGTCCTCTCTGGTCAGCTTCTTTTGTTGGGAGGGCCCAGGAGGAGGATTTCTCTGCCATGAGATTCAGAGAGATAAGGATGACCATTGTTGGAGACAGGTAGGGAGACCTGGTGAGTGTCTCTGAGACCAATGGCCTTGTCTGTGAATTGTAAGTAAGAACTGCCACCCAGGGATGGGGTTGGAGGAGCAGGACATGGCAGGGCCTATGGCATCTGTCCTTCGCTGGTGGTGGTGGGGCAGCTGAGACCTTCTCAGCCTGAGTGGGTGCCAGGCTGTGTGATCCAGGAAGCCAGGCCAGCATCCCTGTTGCCCCTGCAACAAACTCTGCTCTTGGCCACACTTGCATGGTGAGGGCTCCGTTTCTATAGATATCAGTCACCATGCAGGAGAGTTGGTGTGGGCTCCTAACTTCTCAACCATTGGCCAGCCCAGGGGCCATCGTGCTCCCTTCCTCCCTCCCCGATGCAGCACTCCTAAGGCACTGGAGCCCCATGGAGGAGAGGTGGAGTCAATGTGGTGTCTTGGGTCCCTCCTGTGCCTGCCCAAGTGAGCAGGTCTCCCCGGGCAGCCAAGCCTCCTGCACTGCCAGACTCTGCGGACGGAATGCTGCAGCCCTCCTTCCTCCTGCCTGAGACACCACGGTCAGCTCACCTCCTGCTGGCTGCAGACACAGTCTGATGGCCTCCAGGCCAGTGGGCCCTGTTTCCCGGGTATGGGGCATGTGTGCATCTCTATGGCTGTGGTATCACTAGAGCTCATGGTTCCTCCTGTGCATGCCTGTCTTGGGAGGAAAAATAGCCCACATTCTCTGACAGCTTAATGGGCTGTCAGCTCAGAGTCTGAGAGTGGAAGGTGGCAGGAGCAGGTGCAGGGAGCCTGGGGGAGCTCTCGGCTGCCAAAGGGCCAGATTGGACTGAGGGTGGCTATGGCTGGGCGCCCTGGTGACCCGTTGACACCGTTCTCAGGTTGTTGGCTGTCCATGGGCTGGTGTATTGTGACAGAGGAGGAGAGGGAGGAGCCAGGGCCCTTGGGGAAAACTTGGCCAGGGCTTGTAGGGCCTGGCTCCAACCTCAGACTTGAGAGAAATGAGACATTCCTCTGTTCATTCATTCATGCTGCACACATCTACGGAGCGCCTGCCGCATGTCAGCCGTGGGTGCTGGCACATGGAGTGGGTGGGATGCCCAGTTCCTACCCCAGGGGCTTAGGGACTAAGGGGCAGGATGAACCAGGGCACCAGGAGGCCATGTACTATGGGGCTGCTGAACTGGAACCCTGGGGAAGAAGTGGGAGCAGATAAAGGGAAAGGCCGGCCAGCCTTCTCCTTGACTTTGTGCTCAACCTCGAGATGCTGGGCCTGAGCCTCCCATCTGGAAGATGCTCAGGACTGTCTATCAAATGGATGTGGCTGCCAGGCGTCCAGTGTGCAGGAGAGACCACCACTCCCCACAAGACTACCTCGGAGCCCAGGGGGAACTGGTACCGTGATCTTTGTGTCCCTATCGCGCCTACTACACTGCCAGCTCATGTTCTGAGGCTGTGCTGTTGGTCCCTGCCCAGGGGTGGGTTAGAGAGGTGCAGGAAGATTCAACACCAGACTGCTGGAAGCAGCATTGCCAGCACTGCCTTGCTCTCTCCATTCCAGTTCTGGGCTGGCTAAGGGGGAGTGGGAGGCAGTTGGGAAGGTCCCTCACACGATGCAGGAGAGACCCTGCTGGTGGGGTGTGGTGCAGGGGCCTTTGTGACCGCCCCTGTAGACCTTTCAGTGCAAAGCCTAGGTATACTGTCCCGTCCCCAGCTGGCCCGGCCTACTGGTTCCAGGAGGGGTATCTGCGTGGGCACTAGAGTTCCAGTGCTGCTGACAGCACCGAAGGGGTTAATGCAGCCCGACTTCCTGTTGCCTTCCCTTCCCTCCTCCTCTGAAGGAAGCCTACATTGGAATTATAGGCATAAGTGCCGGCTTTTGAGGCATCAGCTGTTCACTGTGTCCCTGCCAGGCCTGGGCACAACCCTCTCGCCCACGTCTGCCTGCCATGGGTTCTGTCCTGCACATGGGGCCCCATTTAGCGTGGTGAGGCCCCCTGGGGACGCTTTCTCAAGCCCCTCATCCCCCAAACCTACACTGCCCCACCACAGAGAGCTTAGGCTCAGTGTACAAATGGTACCCAAGGAGGAGGGGCTGAGGAAGTGACATCGTTTGGCCCGCCCCCACCTGCTTACTCCCTATAAAAAGCAAAATGGTGACTCAGAGAGGAGAGTTGGAAGCGTCCTGCCTCCTGCTCCCACTGTTAATTTTTAGATGTGGAATTAGGCAGGAGGCAAAGGAAACAGCAGCTTGAAATACGAGGCTGGCATGCTATTAAGCAGGAGGCGATAGAGGAGCTGTTCCTCCGGACTCCTGGCAGCCTCTGACTGAGCGGAGCCTGGTGCCTGCCGGCGCTCCCAGCCCCTTCCTAGGCCCGGGTCCCTGTGCAGCCCCTGCCCCGGCTGGGCGTGCATGGTGCGGCTGGGGCCATGGCAGCCGGGGGCCGCCGCCGGCGCCCATTGCGCTACCAGTCCCTGGCAGCCCTCGTGGAGGATTCTCAGTGGCCTTTCTTGTTCCTTGTCTCAGACTTTAGCTACGCGGCCGACGACTACGACGCAGAGGGGCATGAGGAGCAGAAAGGGCCCCCCGAGGGCTCAGAGACCATGCCATACATCGACGAGTCACCCACCATGTCACCCCAGCTCAGCGCCCGCAGCCAGGGTGGTGGGGACAGCATCTCCCCCACCCCGCCCGAGGGGCTGGCACATGGGGTAGGTACACATCTGCTTTTCCTTCTGGGTCTGGGGAGCGGAGGTTTCTTCGGGGAGGGAGATGGAACAGCATGGGGTGTCGTGCTTCGGGCTCTGCTGGGGAGTATGATTATGTCTGTCCTTGGTGCCCTTGTCATCTCCTGTCCTGGGCCTCTCAGCCTCAGGCTTCTCTTCCTCCCCACCTGCTGCTCTCTGCCACCCCCTGTACCTGTCTCCCTCCTCTGCCCCATCTGCACCATTGCCCTCAATAACCCTTGCTTTCTCACTAGTTCTCCCTTGCAGCCCCTTTCATCAGCAGTGTTAGTAGGGGGCTCCAGGAGGGACCAGGCGGCCCTGTCCGGACCCTGGCTGGCGGGTGCCTGCATAGGTGCCCGTGCATTGTGAGGGTCCACATGCTGGCCCTGCAAAGCCTAGGCTGGCCTGGTGCTCCCTGAGGGGTGGAACAAGCTGCTTCTGTAGTGTTCCCTGAGGACCAAGGGCCCCTCCAGCCTCCTCTGTTGACTCAGGAAAGGAATAAACCCTGGTGGAGTCCACCTCCCCTTCTGCTGACAGCCAGGAGCTCTGCTCCCAAGAGATGCATTTTATAAGGAATATTAAATATGTGCTGCTCCAAGACAGGGCGGGGGATAGGAATGTGTGGAGGGCTGCGGTCCTCGTCATTAATGCTGTGTCTAGTGACAGGGACTGACTGTCTGGGCTCAGCTTGTGTGTGCACACCTGAGACACATGAGCCCGCAGGACAGAATTTTCTCAGGGCCTTTTCTGGAGTTGAGGAGAAGAATCAAAGCCATTCCTCTTGGCAGCGTGTGTTTGGGGGTGGGTGCCCAGAGTGTCTGGTCCTGCTTGGTTTATGCTTGACCAGGTGTTTTGTGGGGGTCCCATTTCTTCCCTCTCATCCCTCCCAGAGGAATGACACTAGGATGCTAGTTGATGTGTTTCCCCTCTCAGGGCCTAGCACCCCTATTCTGGCTGGACACTGCCTGGACTCTACCATTCTGGAGAACCCCCTGCTCTTTCCTACCCTCCGCAGGCTCTCACCCCCTCTTCACACACCAGGGTGGCTGTTATAGCCTTTGGCAACAAGGGCCTTGGCAACCAGCTTCCCACTTGGGGGAAGCCACATTGTTGCCGTGGCAACAGGGGCGGAGACAGAGCTCTGCGGCTGCCAGGCAGTAGAGTTTGGGAAGGGATGATGAGGGGCAGGTGGTAGGTGGAGGGGATGGGAGAGAGTGGTGGTCAGCCCGGGGCACTCCCCACACACAGAGCCAGCACTCTGGGGTGTTGTTGCCCTGGCCGCCTAAGGAAGAGTGGTGGGTTAGAGATAGACCTCTTGGGCATGCAGGCACAGGGACTTCTGCACCTGAGACAGAAGAAGGGGTTCTGGGTCCTGAGCTCAGGACAACCAGTGGAGGGCAAGAAGGAGTGAACTCTTGCTCCCCGTCTCTGCCTTTCAGTCTCAGACCACAGCTCAGGGGCTCTGAGACTCAGATGCTGCTCAGAGGCTCAGAGACTTCCCCTCTCCCAAGGGGCCTCAGCCCTTACCCCACTGTGAGCAGGCGCAAGAAGATGCCTGTGGGATCTCAACACGGGGCCAGGTCTTTGCCCTCTCCTGTCCCCTTCTTTTCTCCGTTCTCAGCCTTCTTCGCTTCTTTGCCCCTGTCTCCTTCACTTGTCACATGACCACCTTGCCAGAGATTTCATCCATGGATTTTTAGATTCACTGGTGAACGGTCCTGCCCAGGGCTTTCTGTAGTAACACAAGTCACACGTGTAACAGAGAAGCCTCTGCCTGGTGCTCTGAGGCTTTGGACCACAACTTCACTTTGTGCCTGCTCATTTTGCCTAGTGGCTCACAAGAGAATGACTTGACTGAGGGCCTTTCAATTCTACATTTGCTACAGAGAGACAACCTACTGCAGAGTGACAACCTATTGAGGTGCTTGGGGCTCCCAGTTTTAACTTTTACACGGTGGATGACAGGCCACACTAGAAGGAGTAGGGAGTATTTCTCCACCTTGGGGATCTAACAGATTACAGCCTGCTGCACCCCACTGCCCGCTCTGCCTTCCCTCCCAAAGATGCGATTCTGCCTTTCCCGCTGCATCACGGGTCCCACCTAGTGGACGCTGGAAGTATTGCTATTTATACTGGGGGACCTGGAGGGAGCCACTGTTGTATTTGGGGATGTTTTGGTTAAAAAAAAAAGAAAGAAAGAAAGAAAGGAAGGTTAAGTTTCCTGCTACTTGGCTGTGCTCATCTGGCCAAGCAGGGCTCCTCCCCACCCATGCTTCCTGTTGGGAACTTGGGAACAGAGGGGACTTTTGGACCAAATCAAACAATTGTTGTAGATATTCAAATATCAGGCCTCGGTCACAGCCTGGGAGCTGAGGCTTCTAGCACCCAAACATGCTGTCAGCTTGGTCTGGAGACTCAAGATTTGGTCTTTGTATTAGTCAGGGCTCTCCAGAGAAATAGGAGTAGGATATATGCCTGCATGTGAGTGTACGTATGTGTATCTGTATGTGTGTGTGTGTGTGTGTGTGTGTGTGTGTATACTTATATTTTACATCTTGACTCACGTGATTCTGCAGACTAAGAAGCTCCACTGTCTACAGTGGATTACTGAAGGCTCAGATGTGCACTTCTAGTCCAGTCCCAAAGGCCTGAGAACCTGGAGAGCTGATGGTGTAAACTCCAGTCCAAAAGCCAGTTGGCTTGAAGCCCCAGAACTGCCAGTATTTCAGTCCGAGTCCAAAGGATGGAAAAGACCAGTGCCCTAGCTCAAGAAGTCAGGCAGAAGGAGCTCCCTCTTACTCAGCCTTTTGTTCTACTCAGGCTTCCAGTGGATTAGATGAGGACTGCCCACACTGGGGAGGCAGTCTGCTCTGCTCGGACTGAAATGTTAATCTCATCCAGAAACACCCTCATAGGTACACACAGAATAATTAGACAAATATCTGGGTGCCCTATGGCCTAGTCAAGTGGACACATCCAATGAGCCATCACAGTCTTTTTTTTTTAGGTGCTAAGGATTGAACCCAGGACGTTTGTACTGAGCTACATATCCAGCCCTCCCTTTCTTCCTCCCTCCCTTCCTTTCTTCTTCCCTTCTTCCCTTCCTTCCTTCCTTCTTCCCTCCCTTCCTTCCTTCCTTCCTTCCTTCCTTCCTTCCTTCCTTCCTTCCTTCTTTCCTTCCTTCCTTTCTTTATTTTTTTCTTTTCAGACAGGATCTCACTAAATTGCCCAGGCTGGGCTCCAACTTGTGCACTTCCTGCCTCAGCCTCCCAGAGTGTTGTGATTATAGTCATGTGCCCCCACACCTGGCTGAACCATCCTACACTTCCCCTCAGTGGCCCAAAGAATTGGAAAAAGAAAAAAAAATAAACATAAGTTTTGGATAGATAAAGTCTGTGCTCTACCCGACGTGGTGGCACATGCCTGTAATTACAGTATTCAGGAGGCTGAGGCAGGAGGATCTCTGTGAGTTTGAGGCCAGACGGGGCTACAAAATGAGCTCAAGACCAACCTGAACTGCATAGCAAGACCCTGTCTCAAAAAGACTGAAAAAAAAAAAGTCTGTGCTCTGGTTGTGAGATTTTGGATGAGTATTATAATACCACTGAGCCTCAGTTTCCTCATCTCTAAATTGTAACAACTACCTCTCTAAATAATATCCAGTAGTACCAGCTACAGGGCTGTGGGGAGGATGACGAAGCATCAGGCTGGCTTTGGATGTTCAGCTCAGCTTCTGGTGCTCCAGGCCCACAAGACTTTCATTGTCAGTTCCTGGGGAACTAGGAACATTGTAAAGACGCAATCCAGCATGTGCATGCGCGCCTGCGCACGCGTGTGTGTGTGTGTGTGTGTGTGTGTCTGTATGTGTACACTGCTGGAGAGTGAATCTTTTTTGTAGTCCATCCCCTTTCTGGGGCTGGGTTCCTCCTGCCATGTGTAACAGCCCCAGGTGAAGCTGGACCTCTGGCGTTGGCAGCATACCTGCTCCTCACTCCCCAGCGTGCCTTTCTCTCCTATTTGTTTTGTTTATGCCCAAGAACTATGCAGTCCACAGAGGTATTGGGTGAACCCTGAAGCCCTGCCCTGTAGATCCTTCTCTAGCCCAGGCTGAGCAGGGCACCACGCCACAGGGCAGGGTCACAGACCACTGGTGGGCCCAGTTTCATCCTCAAAAGAAGTGGGGAAGACTCTCTATGATCAGTGGGAGCTTAGGTTCCTCGCCCAGGACCACAGTCTCACAGAAAATCTTGTTCTCAGTAGGCCATAGATTCCCATCTCAACTCTAGGGAGGTGCAGTAAAAAAGGGCCACAGAAACATCTGAGTTGTGCCTCTCCTCTACCACTTGGTAGCTGTGTGACCTGAGGAATGGCACTCACCACCTCTGAACTCCACATTGTTCGTTTGTAAAGTGAAGATACTGAGAATTTCCTGCTCTTCGTCCTCATCTGTCTATTGTGAGTCTTCTATAAAATGGTGTTAGGTAGAATGACTGCAGCTACCAGGAGAATTCAGAAATAAAGGTGGAAATGGATTGAAATGATCCCCATTGTCCTTCGTCTATTTCCTTCCCCCTTTGTCCTCCTCATCACAGCTACTTAAAGACATGTGCCACTCTTTTCACATATGTGACTTTATTTAAGGCCTACAGTGGCCCTGTGAGGTAGGTGCTCTAATCATCATTTTATAGTTAAGGAAACGAAGGCTTAGATAGGTGACATAATTTGTCTGAGCCCACACAGCCAGTGGGGCCAGAGCTTTACTTAAACATGGGTCTTTGTGGTACTGGAACCTGAGAAGTGCTGCTGGGTCCTGCTCAGATGTCCCCACCCTGGTGAAGCTTTTCTTTTGGCCTTTTTTGAGACAGGGTCTTGTTCTATAATTCAGGCTGGCCTTGAACTCTATGTAGCTCAGGCTGGCCTTGAATTAATGGCAATCCTCCTGCCTCAGCCTCCCAAGTGCTGGGATTACAGATATGTACCACCAT